AGATAGTGGATAGCCTTGTCTGGTTCCTGATTTCAGTGGGAATGCTTCCAGATTTTCTCCGTTTAGGATGATGTTGGCTGTGGGTTTGTTGTATATGGCTTTAATTATGTTGAGGTAGAACATACATGATATTTAAAAAAAAAAAACTCATAAAAGTTGAGGCAGACGCCTAAGGAAGGGGTACTGTATATACCCCACAAACTTCACTTTGACTCATACACTTTAGTATCCATAAATTGGATTTGGTGCTGAAATTTGAGAAATCAAGTTATTTCTGTGAGTGTTTCATGTGCTTGTATATGTTTTAAGAATGGTGTGAGGTCTAGTTTGGGTTATGATTCAGCCACCATGGCAAACAGTGATCAACTGCTTGGTCAAGCTATGTCTTTTAGGGCAATTAATATTCACAATTATATTAGTATATTAGTGTAAGTCCATCCTTTAAATTCGAATGGTCATTGGGTGACCTTAAAAAGGGAACTGTAGGGCTGGATTGATGGCCCAGTGGTTAAGAGCACTGGCTGCTGTTGCAGAGGACTGGGTTTGATTCCCAGCACCCAGGTGACAGCTAACAACCATCAGTCACTCCAGTTCTAGGGGCTCTGACGCCCTCTTCTGACCTCTCCAGGCATGGCATGACACAGGTGCACTTACACACATCCAGGCATACACATAAAACTGAAATAATAAATAAAATTTTGAAAAAGGGAACTGTATCCATTGGTACTTAATTAGTATTTAGGTGTAATTGAATGTGAAAGTTTAAATTAATTGTTCTCATTCTTTTCTTTTAAAATTGCTTTTAATAGCATACTACTTTCTTTACCTCCTGTGTCTAAGCTTTCAGATGTAGCACTCAAAATGGAAAGTTTTTCTATTTAAGGAAAGATCATATACTGAGGGAGAAGTTCCAAGGTATAACAATGTATAATTTGTGATGATTTAATGTTCTATATGTATACTTTTCTTTGAATTGTTGTTGTTGTTATTGTTGTTGCTGTTTTGAAGTTTTTGCTGTAAGTATAGATTAATAAATTGTGTATTATTTCAATAGGGAAATTCTTATTATGGCACTTACTAACTCAACACTTTAATACAAATTAAAGACAAGACTCTCCAAGAAAGTGTAGTGTGACTGGATTTAACAGTTGACCAGGAGCTTTTGTGCAGCAGACAACATCTGTGACACAAATTCACTCCCCAGACTTCATACTAATTTGCATTCATCTTAAAAAATTTGCTATGAGAAAAGTGGCTCATGCTTTGAAAATTTTATATTCTTAAAGTTCTAAATCTAGGGGCTGGAGAGATGGCTCAGTGGTTAAGAACATTGGTTGTTCTTGCATAAGACCCGGGTTTGAAACCCAGAACCCACATGGCAGCTAACAACTGTCTGTAACTCTGGTTCCAGGGGATCTGACAGCCTCTTCCTTCTGTCCTCCACAGGCATTACATGACACAGGTGTACTACAATACGATACGATACCATACCATACCATACCATACGATATGATGGGGTACAATACAGAATAAAATAAAATAAATAAAATAAAATAATATAAAATAAAATAATAAAATAAAATTAAT